CATTTGGGACCTTCTTACCAAACATAACCGATGACTTCATGGGGTTGATGAATTGGCCAGAGGCCTCACTGTATCTTCTCAGACAAGAAATGATCTCCGCTGCTTCCTCAGTAGACGCTCTGCACATGAGTAAGCTGTCGTCTGCAAACAGAAGATGGTGTATAGCAGGACCAGATGGAGCTAATTTAATCCCTTGAAGTCTGCCAGCTTCTTCTGATTTGTTCAAACAATTTACAAGGGCCTCCGCACAGAGAATAAACAAAAAAGGTGAGAGAGGATCACCTTGTCTAATCCCTCTCTCCGGTTTAATAAAGCCATGTTCCACTCCATTCATAAGAACTGAGAAGGAGACGGTAGTAACACAAGACATGATCCAGCTAACCCATAAGCGCTCAAAACCCATCTTCTCCAATAGAACTTCTAAGAAATTCCACTCCACACGATCATACGCTTTTGACATGTCGGTTTTGATCGCCATGAAACCATCAGAGACCCCATCATTTGTACGCAAGCCATGTACCATCTCATGAGCTATTAAGATATTATCAGAGATTAGTCTACCTGAGACAAATGCTCCCTGTGTCTCAGAGATAAGTTCCGGTAAGACCCCTTTTAGCCGAGTGCAAAGAATCTTAGAGATAATTTTATATTGCACAGAGCAAAGACTGATAGGGCGCATGTCAGTCATTCTCGTAGGTCTAGTGATCTTTGGTATGAGGCTAAGTTGTGTGTGGTTCCAGCCGTCGGGGAGAACCGCAGTTTGAAAGAAGCCTTTGATTTCCCTAGTCAGTGAAGGTCCCACAATGTGCCAAAAACGCTGATAGAAAACGCCTGTAAGGCCATCCTCCCCTGGTGCACTGCTACCTTTAACACTGAAGGCAGCTCTCTTAATCTCCTCATCTGATACCGGACGTGTCAGAGACGAGTTCATCTCAGCCGATACTCTTGGTTGAAATCCATCAAATAAGGATTCTAAATCGTAAGGATTGGAACTCATAAATAATTCCTTGAAATATTTGACAGCAATCTCAGCTTTAGACCCCTCAGAGAAGTGTTCACGATCTAGGTGATCCAGTAACATGAGGATCCTATTCTGGTGACGTTTACCTTTCACACAATTATGAAAGAACTTGGTATTCCGGTCACCTGATCTGAGCCACTCCTCCCTGCATTTCTGACGCCAAAATATTTCTTCTTCCTTGTATGCCATAGCCAAGTCTTGTCTCAGTTTACTCATGAGGTGGAAGGAGGGGTTTAGCTTAGATACTTCCAGTTCCAAGGACGCTCGGAGACGACTTATTTTGTCTCTGGAGTTCAGGTCAGCCTGCTTCTTCCACCTGAGAATACCTCGTCTGCATCTGTTAATCCTATCCATGGTACAACTTTGAAAGTCATTGTTAGGTCCCCAACAGTCTTTAACAACTTGTTCCAAGCCTGCTTTGGATAACATTCTTTTGTCAAAGAAAAATCTTCCTCTGTTAGGATCTTGTCTTTCCAGTGAGAAGCAGATGCGTATGGGTCTGTGGTCTGAAGCCCACATATCCAAATACTCCATACTTGCTCTTGGGAAGAGTGAGAACCATTCATTATTGCCAAAACTTCGATCAAGACGGCACTGGACCCAAACATTCTCACGACGTCCCCCCCAAGAGAGGCTGTTACCAGTAAACCTTACCTCTTGAAGTTTACAATTTTCAGCCATGTTTCTGAAACCCCAAAAGGAAGAATCTGGTCGTACTGCTCCTCCCAGCTTCTCCTCATTAGACATCGGTTCGTTGAAATCCCCTGCTAGTAGCCACGCTTCATCTCTTATCAGACCAATATCAGTAAGACGATCCCATACAGCCTGTCGCCTTTCTTTAACCGGGTCACCATATACGCAAGTAAGAAAGAAAGATACATAAGTCATTTGAACTTTCGCATCTATGATTCTCTTGTCAGCTGATAAAACTTCCACTTCATAAGTATCCTTCCACATCAACGCCAATCCTCCACTCAAACCCACTGGCTCAACCGTAATCAGCTTGTCATACCCTAAGCTCTTTTGTAAACCAACCATATACTCAAATTTTTGTTTTGTTTCCATCAAAAAAAGAAAATCTGGGAAGAATCGCCGACGAAGCCCCCGTAAGTGTTGAACTGTCTCGTCGCTTCCTGCTCCTCGACAGTTCCAGCTCATAACGCTCATTGGGATGGCAGCGGCTTCAATACGGAAGCCACCGTGGTTTCTGATGTTTTTGGGTTTTTGCTGTCTGATGCAAGCAGGTTTAAGGTAGGTTTTCTCTTCGTGCTCCGTTGAGATGGAGAGCTGGAAGTATCCAATTGTACCTCGGAAGCTGCAGAAGCTTTCTGGTTCAATTTCCTCTTCCAAGATGATGGACGTCTGCGTACTGCTTTCCCTTGGCTCAGGTTCCCGGAAGCTCGCCCCTCCGAAGAGGGGCCTAACTGAAAACCCGTCGGAACCGAGGCGGGAGCAGATAAGGTTGCAGAGTGAGAAGAAGACGTCTCTGTTTCGCTTTCATGATCTCTGTTTTTCCAGCTCGTCACCACTAGAGCGTTAGCAGTTTGTCTTTGTAGGAGCTGAGAGAACGTCTGATCCTCATAATTGAAGACATGGCCTTTCCCTTTATCCAGATCTCCCGTAATCTTCGTAAGTCTAATAGAAGACTCAGTTTTATTTTCTTCAATTCCTTGACGTACTCTCTCGATTCTGGCCATCCGTTCTGTTGGGTCCGAGTGAGATATGTACTGCATCGCCATCTTAAGATCCTGTTTTGAAAGCTCTGGAAACATGGAGGGGAAACCAGGAGGGCCTTCTATCTGCTCCACAGATCGTGCACCATTTTTATCTGGAGCTCTCTCAGTCTCTCCCCTTTGGGTCGGGATCACACTACGGTCAGCACGTGTGTCTTTCCTCAGGAAGGGACAGCGATTCTTTTCATGCGTGAGACGCAAGCAATGGAAGCACTTTTTGTGAATCTTCTCATATTCAAACTCAATTGTAACAACTTTTCCCGGAGTGCTCAATTGTCGGGAAGCTCTCAAAGGCTTAGATGTATCAAAGATGATTTGGGCTCTGATGTAATCCTTGGTGTGAGACACTTTCGGGTCATACGCAATCTCCTCTACTTCACCAATCTCTGATGCCAGTTTGAACATCGTTTTTGTGGTGAAAAACTCAGCCGGGATGTGCTTGATACGAATCCAGAGGCTCATGGTCTGCAAGAAATTCTCTGGGGGAAAGGAGGTCCAACGTTCTATCACCATCGCCCAGTGATTGTAGGACCATGGTCTGTCCTTAAGCACCGTAACAAGATCTTCCTCCCGTTGGAATACAAACTGGAATCTGTCTCGGGATAACGCAATACCACGTACTCTTCCTTGTACTCGCCAAGCAGTTGGCATGTAGCCTATCATTCGCTCCATAGACTGGCAATCAGGGTTGAGTAAACGTCCCAACAAGCTGATTTCATTCTCATCAAAGACTCTGTATTGGGGGCTGTCGGGAAGGACCAACGGCTCCTCATCTTCAAGAGACATCGCTCCAATGGCTTGGTGGAGAAAATCGGCCATGTTTTGCTGAGAACCGGTGAAGTAAAAAGCAAAGTAGCGGCGGGGTCGAAAGTTCTGAGGTAGGAGGTCAAGAGTGGTAACAGAAAAACTCCCACTGATCACGCTATATTCTGACACAATCTTTAGGGAATTCATTCTAAAATGGAAACTCTTGATCAAGACGGCAGAGGATTTAGGCAAGAAAATCAAGAATAAAGAAGCGAATTAAAGTTTTGATTGGGAATCTTCAAAGAAAAGGAAACTTGGAATGCACTTTCCAAAAAATAAGACCGTAGCCAAGGGCCGGTAATTAAAATTCACTCACGGTGAGGAATAGAAAAAGGAAAGAGCTGAACCCGTATTAGATCACCGGAAATCGCCTTTTAGAGAGAAGATTTTGATATGTAGAAACTATAATATCGGAAACAGTTTATTATTTGTAACACTCTAGAAATGGCCCAAATTTAAATGATAACTTGTATCAATATATAAAAAGAATGACTCTATTTTAATAGAGTAGAAATAGAGTAGATTCCGAATACTTGTATCGTTTTTGTATGATAAAATACAAATTAATACGTACAATTTTATATGAAAGAATAGTACATAACCAACAAATACAAATTACTACATAAGAAACGAATTAAGAAAAGTTATGCGATCTTTCTCAAAAAAAAAAAAGTTTTACGATCCTTTTTTCCCAAAAACAAGAAAAAGAAATTTACATGACGCTTTTTATTCGCTTACAAATAATTTTCTTTGACAATTTCTTATATAGCTTTTTGCAAATAAGTTGTTTTTTTTAATGTTTTCTAAAACGTTTTGTGTGTTTAACTATTATACATAATATTATTACTTTTAACCAGTTCTTTTTACACATCTGTCAGAATATTTTACAGAATATGACTATGAATGGTAAAATAAAAATGCAGATTAGTCTTTGTACCTAGGGGTTTGTCATATTTAATTTTCTGACCGAAGTAAGCATTGATGTGACTATAAATGGTTTGATTACATGCACTGAGGTGAATGGAAATCGTTTCAAATCCCTTGACTGATGTTGTCAAACTGACGGTGAAAAATTGTATGTAATCGCATGCAAAGAAAGAGAAATGCAACGCTGATGAGTAGGGGTTGGGTCATAATATATGAGATAAAGAGTATATAAATGGTTTGATTATCGACATTAAGGTGAATAGTTGTAGTGAGACCTACATAATGAAGTGGTGCACCGGTTGATTATTGCAGTGATTGATATAATTGGTTTGATTACCTACATTAAGGTGAATAGGTGGGTAGTGAGATCCAGATAATGCAGTGGTGTGCTGGTTGATGGGTGCAGTGAATGCTCTTATTCACTGAACAATTGTGTATATAAATCAAGCTCCTTCTGAACTCTAAGAACCCATCACAACATTGACCATCTTTTAAACCAATCTTCTTCTCTTATGGCTCCAGTAAGCTTAGTTGGAGTTTTCATAGCCATCTTTTGCTTTTTCATATTTCATTCCTTCCTCTTCAAGAAACCTCATAACCGACTCCTTAGAAATTGGCCTATTATTGGCATGCTTCCAGACCTTATCCTGGTGCTCCACCGTGTCTACAACTTCACTGTAGATCTTCTTGAAAACAACAACTTAACATTTTCATTCAAGGGACCATGGTTTGCGGGAATGGATATGTTACTTACGGCAGATCCAGCTAACATTCATCACATATTGAGTTCAAACTTCTCAAATTACATCAAAGGACCGGGGTTTCAAGATGTTTTTGATGTGTTCGGAAACGGAATAATCACAACGGACTCGGAGCTATGGAAGAATCTGAGGAAATCTTATCAAGCTATGCTCCATCACCAACGGTTTCAAAGGTTTTCGGAGAGTACTTTGGCAAGTAAGCTGAAGGATGGGCTTATTCCTCTTCTCGATCATTTTGCAGAGGAAGGCACACCTGTGGACTTGCAAGACGTGTTTGGGAGGTACACTTTTGATACGGTCTTAATCCTTATAACCGGTTCTGATCCTAAATCTCTATCTATTGAAATGCATGAGGACGAGTTTGCTAAAGCTCTCGACGATGTTGGAGAAGGAATTTTGTATAGACATGTTAAGCCAAGGTTTTTGTGGAAGCTGCATAACTGGATGGGATTCGGACATGAGAAGAAGATGGCCCAAGCTAATGCAACTTTTGACCGTGTGTGTGCCAAATACATTTCAGCCAAGAGAGATGAGATAAGAAAATCACAAGGCATTATTGAAAATTCCGATGGAGAGAGTGAGGACCTCTTAACTTCCTTCATAAAGCTAGATACAACCATGTACAAGCTCTTGAATCCAAGGGACGATAAGTTCCTCAGAGACACAATCTTAGCCTTCATTCTTGCGGGAAGAGATACAACTGCCTCTGCGCTCACTTGGTTCTTCTGGCTTCTTTCTGAAAATCCTCAAGTTTTAACTACGATTCGTCAAGAGATCATCCACACAAATCTAGCAAGGTCTAGAGATCACCAAGATAATTTGGACAAGTTGGTGTATTTACATGGTGCATTGTGTGAAGCAATGAGGCTCTATCCACCAGTTGCCTTCGGGCGCAAGTCTTCAATCAAATCAGATGTGCTTCCAAGTGGGCATGTTGTAGATGCAAACTCCAAGGTTATTATATGTCTTTATGCATTGGGGAGGATGAGAATTGTTTGGGGAGAAGATGCAATGCAATTCAAGCCAGAGAGATGGATTTGTGAGGATGGACGCTTAAAACATGAGCCATCCTTCAAGTTTTTATCATTTAATTCTGGTCCAAGAACTTGTCTAGGCAAACATATAGCTATGACTCAAATGAAGGAGGTGGCAGTGGAGATTTTACAGAACTATGACATTAAGGTTGTCAAGGGGCAAAAGATTGAGCCAGTTCTTGGTTTTATATTGTCAATGAAGGATGGACTTAAAATCACAATTAGTAAGAGATGTTCTGTTTGAAATTATTGATTGAATAAAGATTTTTAGTTTGTTCCAAATCTGTTGCAGAGCTATTATGGTATAAAATTTGCAAATTCAAATTAGCGTATGATTTGATGAATTGGATCAAGTGGACTATGTAACGATCTGAAGTTTCGGGATTAGGGGTATTTTCAAGGCTTTTCAAAGATTTGAAGATTGGTGTATTTCAGTTATAATTTGGTACAAGAGCCAACGTTAAGATCATTCGATGCTCCCTCGAGGGACCAGTTTCTTCCACTTCAAAAACATTATTTCTGTTTGTGAAAGTTTATGGCATTTGAAAACTTTGTTAAATTTTTTAAAACTACCAACTATATCATGTATAGAATTCTATTTTTTTTTAAACTAACCAACTATATCACTGACCGGAGCCAACCTTAGAGATGATCGTACGTAGGGGTTGTGGGCTGAAAAGGAACTTATGCGTGGGCCAACAAGCCCATCGAGGAAATTCTTTAAAAAACATCGTGATTAAAATCGTAGTGGACTGCCCGAACTAGAAATCATTTAGTCCCAAACAATATCTCGATAGTTTTTCAACGATTGAAACAACTTTGATATGATGGGATAAGTTATGTAGATCACCCCATTTATTGTGAACGCTAACTGCAGTATTAATAAATCCTTGCACCCCGTATGGTCACCTGTATATAGTCCCCTAACCATAAAACAAAGAAATTTAGAATGTGAATGGAAAAAGAAGTCCAACGGTAAAAGAAGAGTATTGATGGCGCGGCAAACGACCAAACAACAAATCACGCTGAAAATAATAATGCTCACCAGAATATTTTCACCATTAACTGAAAGACACAAGTCACACAACAAACCTCTCTTTATTAAATGAAATCACATTTTCAGACACTCATGTTTTCTTATAAAAAGAGTCAGCTCAAGGAATCACACCATCACAATCAAAATCACAAGACACAGGAAACGCTATGGGACACCTCAAAAGTTTCTTCATGCTTCTCTTCCTCGCAATAACTATGTTGCCGGCAGTAACGTTTGCCGGTAATATAACAGCAATCATCGTGTTTGGCGACTCCACTGTTGACGCGGGAAACAACAATTATATCCCAACGGTCGCAAGAAGCAACTTTGAGCCATATGGACGGGACTTTGTTGGTGGGAAGCCCACCGGAAGGTTTTGTAACGGAAAGATTGCGACCGATTTTATGTCGGAAGCCATAGGGCTTAAACCAACCATTCCGGCGTACTTGGATCCTGCTTACAACATTTCAGATTTTGCCACAGGTGTCACTTTTGCCTCAGCTGCCACCGGCTATGACAACGCCACTTCTGATGTTCTGGTAAGCACTTTTCGTTACCTTGCATTTATAACATATACTCTGGTATGTTACAAAATAAAACTAACATGTTGCTTGAAATACCATAAATTAGATAACATTTTTCAAAAATGTATTTAAATTAAAAAATATTATAACAGTTGGAATTAAGGTTTAGTGATTGTTGTTTAGGGTTTAATATTAAGGGGGTGTGGTGTGGTTGAGTTTATAATAAGTCTATAAATGTTTGTTAAATCTTTATAAATGATTTAGGAGAGTTGATTTTGTATTTTATTTATCATAAATTTAGGGTATTTATAAAAATAGTCTTTTTTAAAACAAAGTAAATTTGAAAATAGTATTAAGTTTGTAGTAAAATTAGACTTCCCCATAATAAATCAACACGTCGTTATAAGGATATATGATTCATTAGATAGAATAGACATGACATTTTAATAAAAAAGTACAGATATATAAGAATTTCAAAAGTCCTATTTCAGCATGAAAATGTCCTTGTATATATTATTTCTTTGTTTACATAGATGCTTGTTATTTTGCATTCAAGCTAAAAATTTACAACATCTAATGTTTATAATAAAAATTCTGTAATAGCACTAAAACACCATTTTATTTAACAACAAGAGAAATATTAAAAAAAAACTCAAAATAGCATTATTACAAATATTTAATTTTATTTGGGTTTAGGTTTAATGATTAAAGATTATGGTTTAGTATACACGAGATGGGATTAGTGTAAAAGTATAGAATTTAGATTCATTTTACCATTTATCTTAATAGTTTTGTGCTATATTTTGTAGGTTTTTTCTCCACATCTGCTATTTTATCTTAATAGTTTTGTGCTATATAATGGATTTTAATATTATTTATAGCATAATTAAAAGTTAGTTACTTTATTTTTAGCTCTGGTTAATATGGAGAAAATATGAAATGTTACACAAATTATACTTAAGAATACAAAAGATTCATTTTACGAAACGTCTCTTACTACGAAAAGAGGTAGGCCATCTAATTGTTAAAAAGTAATTTCGTCTGTAAATATAGATTTTGATAAATAATTTCGACTAACTAATTTATTAGATGCTTTTATATCTGGATATTTGTGGCTACAATTTATTAATTGCATTCCATTGATGGCGGTTGTAGTCGGTTCTACCGTTGTGGAAACAACTTGAATACTACAAAGAATACCAAACAAAACTAAAAGCGTACCAAGGAAAAGACCAAGCCACAGAGACAATAACCAACTCTCTCTACCTTATAAGCATAGGGACTAACGACTTTCTCGAGAACTACTTTGCCTTTCCGGGCCGTTCATCTCAATACTCGGTTGATCTTTACCAAGATTTTCTAGCTGGAATCGCCGAAGATTTCGTGAAGAAGTTGCACGGACTTGGCGCTAGGAAGATCTCACTAGGTGGACTGCCACCAATGGGATGCATGCCTTTAGAGAGAGCCACCAACATTGGCACGGGAGGTGAGTGCGTTGGGCGCTTCAACGACATTGCGGTCCAGTTCAATGGAAAACTTGAGAATCTTGTTGGGAAGCTGAGCAAAGAACTTCCTGGTTCCATCCTCGTTTTCTCAAATCCCTATGAACCATTTATGCAAATCATCAAGAACCCTTCCTCTTTTGGCTTCGAGGTGGCAGCAGCGGCTTGTTGCGCGACGGGGATGTTCGAGATGGGATATAGTTGCCAAATGAATAACCCATTTACATGTACTAACGCAGACAAGTATGTGTTTTGGGACTCGTTTCATCCAACACAGAAGACTCATCGCATCATGGCCAATTTTCTCATGAACAACACATTCTCTCAATTTCTCTAATGATTTCTACGTGTGTGGATACTGGAAAATTGTGGGCAAAGTAATAGTAAAAATAGGGTGTTTATAGGGCTTGCTTCCCGTATTTTTGATCTAATAAACTATGCACTTTGTATGTATTTAATTATACTTTGCTTTTGTGTAAATAAGCGACACCTATGTTTGTGTTTCAAAAAAATAGCGACACCTATATGTTTATTTTCTAGTTTTATGATGTGACTATTGTTTCTATTATAACTTTGGGGACTGTAAAATTTTCAGTTCGAAAACTCATTCATTACGTCCCCTTCCCAGATGCTTCTTAATATGTCAAACAAAACCATGGTTCGTAACTTCGCCGTGGGGAGGAATGTCTACTTTTCCGAGTGAATATATAGTCCACAATATGTAATGAACATCTAAAAAGGAATGTGCGAGTAAGTTTACTATACAAAATTTACAGTATGACCGTTCAGGTATCCACTCGGATTAAATTAGGATCTTTTCAGATTTGGAGTTTTTAGGATCAAAGATTTTAATTTTATTTTGCTATATATAAATGTATATATATATTTTTTTTGGTTCAGATTTGATTCAAATATTTGGGGGTTCGGTTTGGATTTGAATAACCCGTTTAAATTATTATATTTTTATATAATTTAAAATTTTCAAATCTAAAAATAAATTAATATATAACTTATAAATCTAAATAATATATGTTAAAATACTGAAATTTGACATAAAAATTGGTTTGGCTTAAATATTTGGATAGAAAATCAATAGATAGTTTAAATATTTTTTGGTGTTTTGAGTATTGTCTAGCTATGTCATACATTAAAATATTTTAGATATTTGAATATTATTTAAAAAAATAATTAATATAATTAAGTGTATAAATCTAATTTCGATTCAGATATCCAAAATATTTTGGTTCGGATATCCAAAATATTTCGGTTCAGATTAGATTCGTCAAATTCTCTAGATACCAAAATTTTGAACTAGTTTGGATTTCTAACCAATTTCGGTTAAGATTCAGTATTACCTGAACAATTTTTTTTATATCAGATAAACAAACCGACAATTTGATCGGATATCCAAATATATAAAAATACCAGTTAACTTTAACAATCAAGTTGATTGACTTTTTCCGCTTTTTGGGGAGAATTAATACACGTGTCCTCATTTTTTTGGGCCATTTTGTATCATGGGCTTTCGTTTCAGTGCTGCTTTGTTGAGAGAATTTATTGAGTTTTTGACATTTAGGTGGCTCATCTGTGGTTACGGTTCTCCATCGTCTTCTTTTTTTTTTGTTTCTCCGCCGAAGACAGAACCTTTCTTTTACCCTCTGAGACGAATGTGGTCATACCCTACGATAACTCCGGTTGAGGCTCCACCACCACTGTCTCAATTGCAATTTCAAACTCATGCGAGATGTTAGCCATCAAATGTGATGACTTTTTTTGCTTAGCGTTCTTGTAGAAAGAGCTAACGATTTTGTCTCCTCACATAGTTACATCTAGAGGCTCTGATTTAATGGATTGGTTTACAACATCCTGATGGAACACTTTTGCGGCTAGAGACTTCATGATTTACTGGATTGAGCGATCAAATCATGCTAAGTCAGATTCTACGGGGCAGAAGGTTCGAGGTTAACTTTTTAGCCAAAGATGTGACCAGAACAATGAACAACCGTTAAGGTGAAAAGAGGAGAGAGCATTTTCCAGGCCATGGAAGGAAAGAGATTTTAAACTTTCTTCAGAAGACAATGTCTAATCTAATTCCAAAGCATCAAGTACCATCCCAAGCTCCTATGACTATGAGAAAACATGTTGATGCTCTTACATATAAAGTTGAAGGGTATGTTGATCTGATTCTGACCCTAACGCCATATGTTCTAATGGTATACAGATGCTCTATTTTTAAGTCTAGAAACACTTTCTCTCAAGATGTAAAGGCGTCATATTAAGTCTAGAGAGCAAAAGATAGATTGCAGTCCCAAATTCTGACACATGTTAAAATATATGTCACACTACCTGATATAGAGGGTAGACCAATGCGCGCCTAGCCACATTGACTACGGCTGCACCTACACCGGCCCCGGTCGAGGAGGCCGATCCGGTCAGGTGACAACTCTTCACCATAACTAATCCCACCATGAACGGGGCTGAATCTACAGTGACTCCAGATCCGGCGGTTTCCTGCGCAATCGCCGAACTCAAACTCTCACTGCAAGACCTCAGCACCAAGGTCCGCAGCGTGACGAGCTCAGCCCCGGAGATCGACCGCGTCCTCGCAGCCAAGACTCCGTTCACAAAGAAGATTACGAACGTGAAAGTCCAGCGAGCCGAGAAGCTGTGCGTCCCTTTCTACTCTGGGGACTCGGATCCCGCTGACCACGTAACGGCCTTTAATATCGCCATGGGACGGACATCTTTCTCTGAGGAAGAAAAAGACGCCGGCTTTTGTCAACTTTTCGTCGAAACACTCTCCAGACCAGCTTTGACTTGGTTCTCCCGGCTACCGGAGGATTCCATCGACAGCTTCTACGACCTTTCCACAAAGTTCCTCAAGCACTACATAATGTTCACAAGAAAGAGGAGCTTCGGCCGCCAATCTCTGGAAAATCTCCCAGCTTCAGCACGAGTCCCTAAAGGACTACGTGGAGAGGTTCAAGGCCGTGGTCTCGCTGGTCCATCTGCCAGACGAAACGGCTGTCGAAGCACTTCAGAACTCTCTCTGGATAACCTCCCCCTTACGAAAGGACTTGTACGGGAACCCAACTGACTCACTCCAAGAAGCTCTTCACAGATCCAAGAACTTCATCGTCATGGAAGAGGACAACAAGTCGTTCATTGCCAGACAGAATGCACTCAAGCATGCATCTTCCAAGCAGACGGAACCTTAAGAGCCACAGCAGCACATGCCTAACGCGGCGCGTAATGACAAAAATAAGAAAATTTTTGGCGTCACCGAAGGCGAGAAGACATCCCCCGCCGAAGGCAAGGAAAACCCCTTTCCCCATCCGTGGAACGTATGGACACTCGACGTCGATGGCAAACTTCAGATGGTCCAGCCAAGTTCTGCTACAACTCAACAACAAGAACCACCGATGTCTTCGGTCACCTATGACCCGAATAAGTCTTGCGACTACCACAAAGCTAATGGGAACGACACAAAAGAATGTAAACAGGTGCATGAAGCCCTCCTCGCGAAATTCTTTGCCGAGGACGCAGGCGTCAAACCAAAGCCCCAAACCACGGAAAACAACAGGGGTGGTGGCAGAGGCCGAGAAAAATGCACCAAGAAGGCGAGCGCCGGTACCACTGAACCCAAACGATCGGAATCGCTACCCCGACACGATTCGGACGATGATAGCGCCGATGACGAAAGATCACGAAGCATAAAACGAATCGGCGTCATCCTTTCCGGGCCTCCTTCACCACCACCCTGGGGGGTATGCCACAACCCGCTAATGGCGAGAACAAGTTATCAGACTTCCACGGGAGTGAAGGATACAACACCAAAGAGTGCAACCACCTCCGCGACGCGCTGATGACTAGTTTCCTCGCCAAGATTAAAAGACGACCACCCGCGGACACCAACAGGAGTGGCGAGAGAAATTACAGAAAGTGGATCGGCGCTCCCCCGCTCGCGGTCCCCAAACTAGACCTCGATCCCAGAGTTCCAAGAAATGAGCAACCAGCAGCGCCCAATCTAGGTCCTCAAACACTGCATCCCGAGATCATTTGGCTAACCAGCTCGAACGTACGCCACCAACTCACGTCCAAGAGAAGGCGTGTCCCAGTTACAAGGGAAGTCGGCGACTGTCACACCTCGGCTTTTGCCGAGAACTTCGACCTCCGCACTCATCTTAGAACAAAATCCGCTGATTTGAGGCAACGCCTGAGCAGACCAAACTCAGCAGCAAATAATGAACCCAACAGTGGGCTCCGTCCAGATGACCTTTTCCACAAGATCAGCTGAACACCCCCCTCCGGGAGTTCCCCAAATGAAAACTGAATCAACGTGATATTGGTAGGACCTCCCCCATGCGACAACTCGATACGATCGGTTAAAGAAGACTAGAGGAAAATCGATATTGCTTGACGCTGGAAAAACAGATAGGGAGAAGAAATCGATATAACGTTCTCGGCCAAGGATACAGCCGGAGTCCACACCCCTCATAACGATCCGCTTCTAGTCGAGCTCGGCATCAGAGATTGCGCAGTAAGCCGTCTGTTCATCGACACGGGTTGCTCGGTCGATCTGATCTTCAAGCAGACACTCTTGCGAATGGACGTCAACCTCGGCAATTTGCAGCCTTCAGCCCGAACACTCACGGGATTCAACGGATCCTCCGAGAAGCTACTCGGCACCATCGCGCTTATGGTCAGTGCTAGGGAAGTCGACAGAGTGGTCAAATTCGCCGTCATAGACATCGAAACCCCTTATAATACGATCCTTGGTACTCCGTGGCTCCACTCCATTCAAGCCGTCTCTTCAACATACCACCAATGTGTCAAATTCCCAGGGCCGAACAATCGGATCCTAACCCTGCAAGGAGATAAAAAGGCAGCTCGACACCTACTCATCTTCGAGATGAAGAGCCACAACATGGCGACCCCGATCAACACTATCGCAAAACCATCTTCCAAGCTCCACCCGCCGAAGGAAGAAATCCTCGAGATAGCTCTCACCAAAGACAGCCCAGAGCAGATCATACGGATCGGCGCCGGTTTATCCCACGATATCAAAGATCAACTGCTCTCCTTCTTGTGAGAAAATGTCTCCACGTTCGCGTGGTCAACCGGCGATATGAAGGGGATAAACCCATCCATTACCTCTTATCGGCTCAACGTCGACCCAACGCAAACCGGTGCATCAAAAATGGAGGAAGCTCAGTCCCAAGAGATCCACCGCAGTCAACACCGAGGTAGAGAGACTCCTCAAGCAGGTGCCATTGCCGAAGTCAAGTATCCTGATTGGCCAGCCAACCCAGTAGTGGTGAAAAAGAAAAACGGTAAATGGAGAATTTGTGTCGATTTCACCGATTTAAACAAGGCGTGTCTAAAAGATAACTTCCCTTTGCTGGACATCGATAGGTTAGTGGAATCAACTGCCAGGAACGAGGTTTTGAAATTTATGGACGTCTTCTCGGGCTACAACCAAATAACAATGCATCCCGATGACAGCG